TCGGGAATGGCTCATGACTCTGTTGACTCCTCTACAAATATCTAGTGATTCCAAATTTACAATTATCACAGGAGAAAAGCTGTGGTGACTGAAATGAGGCAAAATGCTTCATTGTATGAAAGTTTGTGTCAGAGGCAGCACAAGAAGTTGTAAAATGTAAATTTCGTGCTCTCAAATTTCCCCGTGTTTTCACAGAACTGCATCTGTGACTGTGCAGCACTACAAAAATTTCCTGTGAATGTGCTAATAGGCCTTATGAGAATGTTCTATCACCATCCATCTGTCACTTTTTAACAGGCCTGATTGGCAAGCACTTGTAACAACTGACATCTGTTCTCGCTTATTGATATGTAGATTTATGGTAATTGCTGTGAACAATAAGACACAAAATTACCTAAGGTGAACATTAAATTAAATTTTCATGCCCCTATCCTTATAAATAATTTTTTTAAAAATCTTAAGTTTCAAGCAAGGCATACTGTGCATCTGTTTTGTACATAATTTAATTGTTTTTTTAATCTGCCAAATAACAAAATGAAAGTTGAATTTCTTTGCAATCTTGAATATTTGCCAAGCTGATAGCACATTGGTAAATACATGTTATTAAAAATGGAATCAAACTGTATTGTGTTTCTTGTTTTTTTAATCATTTCCCTTTAATTCCCAACATCGTCTCCATCATGAAGATCAAGAGTTATTCCTTACCCAGAATTTTTTTTTTCCCTCTACAGGGGGATTTTCATTTTTCATGTGCAGCTCTGCCTGTGAGGCTGTTCTTCAGCGTTAAGCAATTTGCATTTCTTCAGAGAGAGGTGCATTTGCTGAGTGAGCAGCACTTTCAAATAAAAATGATCTACTCATTTGTGGTCCAGCTCTGTTGCGGGATTTGGGACTGTTTTGAAAAAGCTGTAGGATGTGAAATGTGTGAAGACAGTGTGTGAAAGCAGAGAGAATAAGAGAGCCGATTAGTCCCACAGAACTATACCTTAGCTGAAGTTCAATTGAACCAAAAATCCCCATTTTAAAGGAAAATACTTTCTGGGTCTGGGACTTGAGAGCATTTGGTTTCCCTCCTCCAAGTTTGTCCTAGCGAGTGGGATGTTGACACACTTGACAAGATGACGGGAGAAACCAATAAAGAAGGAGCAGAGATGGTAAAATGCCTGGGGAATGTGAAACAGTGATGACAGGACTTATTTTTTATACATTTGAGCAGACAGAAGATCCTAAGGAGGATGCATATTAAGTGACAAACCTGTTGACACCATCAGCTCTAGAGCATGCTGGATGACAGCGTGTGCCATGAGCCCTTGCTGACAGTCACATTTGGGTGCTCAGTTCAGCGGGGCTCTTTGCTCTCCTTCTCTTATGTGTGTGTGACAACAGCAAGCAGTCTTTTTTCCTGAAGGCACCGAAGCTGACACCCTATAACATCTGCAGAGCTGGTTTGTGGCCAGTGTCTTTTAGTCACCTCTACAGTAAGATACACTGGGTGGGGAAACAACTTCGTCACCGTCTAGCTCTTGTTTGTTAATCTGCTTTTGGCATTGAAACACTTTCGTCAAGTTGATGGGTTCCTCTTGTACTTCCAGAGGAAATGTCCCACTAGAAAAAAAATGTTTTGGGGGATGAGGCAATGTTGGTGTTTGTTTTGCATCCACACAGACATGATGGTGGTTGGTGAGCCCAGGGAAACCAGTTGTTTGTTCCACTGCCTGTTGACCTTGTCATGCCTGCTGTACTTTTCCTGGAGTGCTGTACAGTGTGTGTGCTGCTTTCCAGCTATGAGTATGCTGCTCATAACCTTCTGTAGCCTTGCATGCATTGGCAAAGCCATATGCATAAAATGCAGTAGAAAAAGTAGTATTTAACAGCTTCAAAAACCCTTTGCATCTAAACTGGGGTTTGGAGAAAAGTCCATGTGTTTTCCAGAAGCATGCAGGATTTCATCTAGCTATTTTGCATTCTCTCCTCTAGTACCATTCTGTATTTGTTTGCTATTATTTAATCCTGCCATGCATGCTGTTTAGAAGTCCAAAGTAGAAACACCCCCCCAGAAGAAATATAAGCTGATTATGAGTGATCCTTCTGATGAATAACTAACCAGTGGGCAACAGAAAACCATGCTGCCATGGTGGAAAGCAACCCACTGCTTTCCCAAATCTGTATTACAGAATGGCATGAAATGTGGCCTCACTGAAGACTAGTAATGATTGCTGGACATTCGTTGCTGAATTACTTATACTTTGGTAAATTATATTTGAGGACCAAATATCAATCCAGGGTGAAAATGGATTCCATATCTCATTTTGAGTACCATTATCTACATTGTCTGCAAAAAGCTGGACTCCAGTTTAAGTCTTCTCCATCCCTAAAATCTTGTTTGAAATAATCTGCAGAATCTTAACTATCAAAGAAAAAGGATTTTTTTAATGAAAAAATAAATATTTACACCCAAGGCAATCAAGTAGGTCAAGTGAGTAATTAAAAAAATAAATTAAATGATGCTTGCATATCTGAATTTCTATCTGAATTGTACTTTCTGACTGCAAATTTCTCAAGTTAAAACAGAGGGAGGATTTGAAAACTGTTATGAATTTCCTTACCATCTCTGGCTTCAGAAAATTATTTGTTAGTATGATGCTGCTTCCAAAACTTAATTTTAGACTGATAGTAAAAAAAAAAAAAAAAAGTTTTTAAAATATTCAGTCAACTTCTTCTTTAGAAGATTACTTTGTTCAAGATTTGAGATGTTTTAAGCAGTTTTATTCTATTCATTTGGGTATCTAATATCTAATTATTTAGTATATAAAAAATGTCCCTGTAATTAATGTAGTTTTGGCATTTCGGAATTGTCTTTGTATTTTAAGCACTTAAACTTAAACTTTGTGAGAGCTGTCTTAAAAGACTGACCAAATTGCAACAATAACATGTGAACACTTTATTTTAGTAGTTACACTTAATTGTCTAGGTTAATAGTGACTTGTGACTAGGGTAGCTTAATTGCATCTTGCAAAATAGTTTGGGTTGGTAGTGTTTGAGAAAATCCATATTTTTAAAGATGATCATTAGCCTCCAAAACAAACCCAAAAGAGTTTTTTGGTCACATAATTCCTCCAAGTATGTTGTGCAGACTCCAGACTACGAAGTGGTGGATCTTGGATCAACTGAAACCTTACTCCTAACATTGTCACTGTGTCACATTTTCAAGAGCAAAAATATCTCAGTTGATTTTGGGCATTTGACTGAGGCACAGAAGTCAGAACCTCAGCCAAGCTAGGTGCCTACCTGAGATCTGACCTGCCTTGTTGGAGCATGCTGTGTTTAAATTTGGGGGTTTATTCACAAATAGATGCTTACATCAAGGTTCACCTCACAGTTCCTAATGCTGGGACAGTAAGAATGCCTCTTTATGGGGCTCACTGATTGTACCAACCTGAGTCTGCAACATATGCGTTTGAAAGTAACATCCCTCTCCATTACTTCAGGAGTTCTCAATTCCTAGAAAATACCTCTCCTTCATTGTTTTTTTTTTCTTCTCAAACATACTTACATATTTAACCTTTTTTTTTTTTTTTTTAATCTTCTCCAAGTTGTTAAGTTCCCCTGTTTTGAGAAACAAAGTGTGCAGGAAGAAGTAATATCTCATTAGACAAGCTAACATTCAGAAAAAAATGGGCAAATTTCCAGGCACTTAAGCTCTCCTTTGGGTGTTCCCCAAAACTCATGCAGTCTTCCCAGCTCTATCACTTGGTCTAAAAGAGGTATTGCTCTTCCTACCACCTAATCTTTTGTGTGTACTTAGATTATCAGGACTACAAGAACATAATAAAAACTCTTTTAGTATTTTGGGCTTATGTACATTTTCAATATTATTGAGAGCTCAAGCAGCATGCACAGACCAAAAAGAATGATCTCTCACTGCCATGCAAACAATCTCTCTCACGTCTGTATGTAAGCACCCAGACTGGACATCACCCCTGTGGACAGTTGTTTCTTATTCAGAGGATCCTGAGAAGGATCCAGTCTGGTTACTGCTAGCACCTAACTTGTATCTGCATTTTAGTCTTCTACTGAAGCAGTTCACCTTAGAGTAAGTGCCTAAGTATTTTGTCTAGTCCAAAGAAAAAAGGTAGGTACTCCTGAAGGCCTCTGGAGAGACAGACTCCTGTCCCTCTGATTTAAGTCAAATGAATGCCATTTGCTGTTCTTTAACTGTCTTTTTTTCCATTTCATAAAAAATCTATTTATAGTTCGGCCTTTTTTACTTGCCATCTAAATTAAAGCATTTGCTATTTAAACGCATCCATTTCTTGAAGATCCTCATTGAAATGCAGGTATATCTCCCCCACATCTTCAAAAATAATGAAGTGACAGACAACTGAGTAGACTTCATATCACAATCCAGAAATTACAGCCTGAAAGTCCCTACCTCCATGATGGCTCTATATCAAACTGATGCTAATTTGATGTTCTTAGGTCATAAATGTTTTTTGAAATGAACCATCAAAAGGAAAAATAGCACAATTATTGACTACTGCACAGTGTATCCCTAGTAGATACATTCAGAGGAGACATGGGAAATAAATTGTATTCATCCCAATTATATGACCCTGTCCTGAATGTGTTTTAAATGTTAGTTATCTTCTTTACACCCCCTGTTGTGTCAGGAAATAGTATCATGCCTGGGCTTCACACAGAGTTTTAATTCTACACTTCCGTTATAGAAGAGGCACAAACCAGGTTTAATTATCCTGAACTATAGGCTGGTGCCTTTGCTGTATTCTCTCAACTCCAAGGTAGAGAGGTAAAAGATGTTATTTGGGGACTGCAATGAGTGGTTCCCAGATTATAGATGTCTTGGGAGTGAAAAGAAGAATTGAATCTCTTGGCGAGGTATATCCCAACCTCCATGACCACTGAAAATAGCTTTTTTTTAAAAAAAAAAAAAAAAAAAAAAAATTACATGTTTTCATTAACCATATTGCTTCTCAATACAGGCATGAACGCTTTACAATTACAGAATTTGGCAACTTTAGCAGCTGCAGCAGCCGCCGCCCAAACCTCAGCTACCACCACCAATGCAAACCCTCTCTCCACAACGACTGGTGCTCTGGGAGCCCTTACAAGTCCCGGTAAGAGCAGAGTGCTTGCTTTCAAAATATAAACATGAGAATAAATGGGAAGATGACAGTTTAAACAATGATTCCATGTTGTGTCTAAGTTCTATGCTCATACAAATTCTGAAGACCCTTTTAATAGCTGAATACATTTTTGTTACTGTTATTTTTAAGCAAATAACTGATTTTTCAAGTGGTCCAGTGTGGGCATGTTCATCTTTCCTGACTCATTTCAGGCATCATTAAAGCATAATGGACCCATCTTACAAAACTCTCCATGAAAATTACAATTACATGGGAAACTTAAGCTAAATTTAACTTTTCAGGAAGAATTCAGAACATGAGCAAATTCTTCCCATCCTACAGAAAAATCAGCCAAGGTGGTTCTTTTTAATCCCTGAGAGACTTTGATTCCAAGCACATCATGCATGTATTGCCTTCACCCATCATGAATTTTTGTGAAGTCCTTCTCTCTTTTTTTTCTTCTCTTTTACTTGCTGTAGCTTCAGTTGAGCTTTCTTCTGGTCCTAACTGAGAATACAGTTACAGAAGTGATATTAGATGCACAAGGAATACACAGCCAGATTCTGACTTGATTACATTAAGCAGAAGACAGATTTATGGGGGAATAAGGGACAGAATAAGAGATGGTGGTGCCTCCATGACCACCATGTATACATTCAGCCATGCATGTCCAATATCTGCAAAAACCTAGAAAGAAATCAGGGCAAATCCAGGGTTCAGTAACACTTCAGCATCTCCAGAATCCATGGAGATGTTGATTCAGTGTAGTTACTCTGGATTTACAGTGATGTAGCTGAGTCAAGAATCTGGCCACTTATCTTTACATAAGGGCTGCAGGGTGTAATTATTTGCATCATGAAGTGTGTTTATTGCTGTTCTAAAAAACATTCATATTATTTTAGACACCGCTAAAGAACATTTGTGTTTAATCTTGTTTAAGTGTGTATTTATTCCCCATGAAAAAGTAATTCATGGCAGACGGTTTGCGCTCATCAGTAAGGAAAGCAGTCTTCACTGCACAATAGAACTGGGACTGAGTGTAGTGCTGGGTGTTAAAGCTGGCCAGTGCTTCCCGTTATATTACAGTGTTATTGTTTCTTTAGGGGAGAGGTTAAATGGAAGGCAACTTGGCTCATACTAAGTTTGTGCAGAATTTTCCTGTTTCTGATGTAAACCTCATTTCAACCTAAAAATAATATTCATTTGCAACATATCTGAGAAGCAGATTGGGTGAAAATAGTTCTGGTTTGCTGATATATTTTTTTTTAAACTTGATCAATCTCTTCCCTCTGTCTTGGAGCTAGAGCTTAACACTTTGCAAAAAGCTAGTCTCACTGTCAATGCTTCTGCGGTACTCCTGTCTAAATGTCACCCATTTATACAAGCAGAAATGTTGCATTTCATGCATGCTCTGTAATATCTCTGCAGTTTAGCTGTTAGATGTCTGAGTAGCCTGTCCTCCCAAAGCATGCTCAGCATTTCTTGAGCCATACTGACAAGGCTTCTCAGGGCAACTCAGTGTGCTGCACTGCGATGCAGAGGAGTTGGAAATGAACTTTCTTTATCATTGCTGCTCTGCAGCAAAGTCATACAAGAACCTTGGGCAGCAGAATGTTTCTGCCGTGGTCTTTGTCTTGCCATGGTAGCACAGGACTCAGATTCATCCTTAAGGCCTACATTTTCCTCTCTCCCTCTTCAGCACAGTCTTATCCAGCCTTGCTAAACAGCTATTCCCTCTTTTAATCTGGTCTTGAGGCTCCTTGAGTACCTGGAAGGTGATTTCATCTGATGTCCAAGTCTGCAGAGGCACGTAGTTAGAAAGGTGCTTCAGCTGGGCTGGTCAGATACTTCTTTGGGATAAGTAGAGCTTAGTATTGCTCAGGGTGGTATTGTAAGGCAGATGATACCAAGGACTTTCCAAAGAGATTAATGATTTTGCCTAACACATTGAAGATGTGTTATTTTCAAAAAATTCTGGAGGTGTTGCCTTTGAAATAGTGTATTCAGAATGACAATTGCTTTGGAAAGTCTTAGTAGCTGTACACAAGTGTTTCTAATATTAGACAACTTGGTGTGTCAAAGAGAAAGTCTGTCTAATAGGTCCATTGACCTATTTATGTTGCACAGCCAACCTAAAATCAAACCTTATTAAAATGTCCTTCAGTTTAACCTTTCTTATCTGGTTCTACATTCTCCACCCTATTAAATATTTTGTAAACCTGAATAATATCTTCAATGATTCTTCTCTGCTCTATGGAAAATGAATTTAGTTCGATAAAGCTTTTCACTGTAGCTCAAAGTATTTCCATTAAAACTTGAAATATGTTGGCAGAAAACATTTAACTCTGCCTTTCAGTGTGTTGATATTTGGAGGCCTTGAGGGTATTTTTATGGTCTAGTTTTCTTTTAATAGAATACTTCAGTTTGTTGTGTTTCATAAGTGTAAATTATTTTGTTTGATTTCAAAGCCAGCACTAAGCCCAGGAAGAAGTGTTTGTGTCTCTCCAGATAATGCATTAAATTAATATTTCTCAGTTCAAAAAATTTCCCAAATTTAGGAGAGTGTAAAGGTACATGCTTAAATTTAATCCTTTTCTTGATGCTGTTAAAGCTAAACTACTGCATGGAACAGGGATGGGCATGAGCATGTATTTAAATATTCCTTAAACCATGGCAGCCACATAAATCATATCCATGTTTCTGCCCATATATAACTATATCTCTCCTGAAGATCTCTCCTGAATCAATCTTTGACCACAAGCTCTTGTTCTGTCCTTTGTAGATATGAGCCCCAAAAGGTGGTTACTTCAGTTAAAAGTCATCTTGCAGCTCAGTTTTACATAGATAAGATTTAGCAACCTTCAGTGCACCAAACTATTATGGACAGGATGGCAGTCATACCAATTTTGATGCATTTTCAACATAGAAAAACAGGCCAGGAAGTGAGGAACCAACAGGGCATCTAATGAGGATGTCAAGTTTTGCTGCTTGCTTCTAATTGCAATATATTCAAAAAGAAGGGAAAAATATTCAGCATCTAACAATGACTGTTCAATCTGTGTGAAACTCCTTATTCAGGGTTCATACAATCACATATTTCCAAACAAACTGAACTCCAATGATCTTTCTCTTATACATTCTTACTAAATAGCTTTGACCACAAGAGAGTCTAAGGACACTCATTCCACTTCATGTGCTAAATACTTTCTCTTAAGCTTGAAACAGTATTCATTCAGAAAGAACAGAGACAATGCAATCCCCCAAACTATTAATTTTTTTATAATTGTAAATTTATAATTTCAATTTTACATACCCATGGAAGTCTCTCCCTACAGCATTGTTAGAAATGATTTTTTAAAAGCCTTTGCTTAAAAAAACATGAAAGATTAAGCTTTCATTTTAGTAAAAATCCCCTCAGGCAATAAATAGGTTCTTTTGTCTCTTGGCCCTGGAAAAAAAAATAAAATGGTTTAAATTGCCCATGGTTAAAGTAACTGTTTCTTGCAATTATCAGATGGGAGTGAATAAAAATGAAAATGAAATCATGAAAGAATAAAAACCAGGTAAATGCATATTATGTCTTTCATGAGTTTCTCACGGGTCTTTTGAAGACTCATTTAATCATCTTTCTTGTCTTTTATTTTGATATGATAATTGTTTCCTTTATTTACTTTAATCACCACTATTTAGTTAATTAATTCTTCACTTTCCTTTCGTTTCACTCAGAATACTTTCCTGTTTTAAAGGCAGGTACTTTTAAAGTAAAGTCATGTAACACAAGGATTTGGGCTGGTGTAGCTTTTACCGGACTCTAGATTGTCTGACCCCGTTTGTCTCAAATCACTTTTGGTTAGGCCCTGGAAGTTTGCATTTCCCATTACCTGGGAAGGGATTTTGGAGGGACTACCTCGGGTGTAGGTATCGACACGGTAAATTTCTCAATTTAGTCAGGATGAATCTCAGCTGAGTGTCAGGAACTTTGCCTTCTCCCCCAGAGAGTGTCCTTGACACATGGATCAACTAGCAAAGAGCTAGCAGGGAGGCTGCTATTCCAGAGCCTGCAGAGATTTATGGTTAATTCAGTGGGTGGTGGGAAGGCCTGGAGATGGATGTGAAGGAGGGACATACAAGCTCATGATCAGAGTATCTGCCTCTAACACTATCTGACATTTAATTTGCCTCAGTTGACCTGTCATGCTGATTTTCCCAAGGATAATAATGTTTATTCCGACTGTCCTGTGTGTTAAAAGGTTGATAAGGCACTGTAAAACTTTTCCTGATATCAGGAGTTATGAAGCTCCTGATCTTTTAGCAAACTGTTAAGCAACGGCAGAAAAATGATTGGTACTCACAGGAAAAATATGGAGGTTGGGTTTCAGACGCGAGCTTGGTCATCTTGCTCTTCTCCATCACTGCATGTATTTTTATTGTTTAATTCCATAACACTAGAGTCACAGAATCACATAGGTTGGTAGGCACTTCCCAAGGTCTCTATTCCAGGCTTCTGCTTGCAGCAGGACCACTCAGAGCAGATTGGTGAAAGCCATGTCCAGTCAGGGTTTTAATATCTCCAAGGATGGAGATTCCACAGACTGTGTGAGCTCATTTCAATTTTGTTTCTTAAAATTCATGCGTAAATGTTTTTTCAGTAGCCAGTAGGAAAGCCCTTCTATGTGGAAATGAAGAGACAAAACATCTAATTATATATCCAAATTTATCTGCATAAACATACACAATATAACTTCTGAGCTGTGGGGGGACAGAATTGCTAAACCAGAAGCTAATTCAGTTTCAGACAGGAGTCTTGATTTTCCCTGACATTTTCATGATTATTTGATTGGCTAAACTATTATTTATTCACACAACTGAACTAGATATTCATGCTTCAGTAAAAAAGCTCTTCGGGTTTATCTTCTGTGTAAACCTAAGAGGAAATCTTCCTGCAAAAAAATACTGTCAGTGTAGAAAGTAAGACTTTTCTTTAATGACCT